CCTGGGAAGGGCTAGCCTCCCACTAGTTCGAATTAAGGGGCTACACACCCCTTAATTCGAACTAGCTAGTTCGAACTAGGCTTAATCCTCGTAAAATGGAGCGCTAGTGTAGCACCTATTAAAGTTAGTTCGAACTAACATCTGTTAGTTCGAACTAACTTTGTAGTGTAGACATACCATAGTCTCTACTGCACAAGGATGTTGTGAGGTTTATTGTTTGTACCATAAAACTTGTGTAGATACAGTGATGAGGTACACAGTGCAAAAGATGGTTATTTATTGCATATCCTTTCTTCCTCTTTGAAAGGCCCTGTCAATGCTGGCACTAGAAAGACATTAGCCAGAACCATATTGAATCATGAATCTTGCTATCAAGAGGCTAGCTGTGTTTCCTAGACCATTGGAGATAGAACTTTAATCATTTTATGAAATATTTTACAAAACTGTGCATGTAGCATGGTTACGCAACTGTCTACACTCTTTTCATTAGAGCTCATCTTCAGTACAAATAAATACAGGTGTATTGAGTGACTAACTCACAAGAAGTTGTTCCCCTACGCAGTAAAATATGTTTTCCTCTTACACATCATCTCTCTGTATATTTTTACAACATCCCTGAACTGTGCTAGAACTTTCGACATGTCATGATTCCATAGGCCCAGTCTATACTAGGACCTTAGTCTGAAATGAGCCCCCCAAAGTCAAATTTGTAAGCAATGCATCCACATGACCAAGCCTATTATTACAGAATAAGGGGCTGTGGAATTCGAATTCTGTACTCCCGCTTTTCATGAGGAATAATGCTAATCCCAAACTTGTAAGTCTGAAATAATGTTAGTGTAGACTGGGGTCAGCAATAAGTTTTTGCTGGGGGCCACTTTGGAAATTTTTGATGTGGCCCCGAGCTGCACAGGAAGGGGTGGGACATCAAGCTGAAGGAGCGGGACCAAGATACTTCCATGATTGGCCTGGAGATGAGGAAGTGCCTTTGCCGCCCCCCCCCCCCCCCCAAAGTTCCCTCTAGGTGCCCATGCTCCTGGCATGGGAGGAGACTTCTCGTGCTCCTCTGTCCCTAGGCCAAATAGGTCCTGGGGGTGAGGGAGCCCACAAAGCCTCCTCCGATCTCCCCCTGCCCTGTGAACAGCGTGCAGTGCTTCCAAGTGCCATGTGTTTCTGGCAGGGCTGGAGGAGGCTTTGCGTGCTCTCCTGCCCCCAGGCCCTAATTGGCCTAGGAGCAGGGAAGCAGCGGGGCCTCCACGGGCCAGATCCACCCACTTGGTGGGTTGAATCCAGCCCGCAGAGGCCTTTTTGCCCACCCCTAATGTAGACACTCGGGTGCCACTAATTCAAATTTAATGGCCTCCAGGAGGCCTCACGCAGCTCCCCAGAGTGCTTCCTGGGGCTCTGAGTCTGTGGTAGCATGTCCACATTAACAGAGCCTGCCTTGATTCTTCCGCGTAGTGAGAACACAGAACTTCAAATTTGTAAAATCAGGTGCCCAGAAGTCAAACTTAGTAAATCTGGACTAATCTCCTGGTACAGATATGGCTATACTGTCTCTGCTATAGGACTCAGCTGTTTTATCTAAGATAAGGGGGACAGTACTATTGTAATTTGGTTCCAACACAGATATATTTAGAGTGGTTGGTAGAACCTATAAACAACTCTGTTGAATAAGGTTTTGCTTAACACAGATTGAACTGTAGTATAAGTAGTCCTGAAACCTGGGCAAAATTACCTTGGAGGGAAGGGAGATTGAGACTGTTCAGAAAGAGTAAAATTTAAGTACATGTTCATGCTGTTAATTTCGGGATTCTTATAATGAAAACTGGAAAAGAGACAAGTGATCTTTTTTACAGTCTTGTACGGCTTGTCTTTAGAGTCACAATTTCAGATCCAAAGTCTAAAAGGGGGTTAGGCTTTTATTGTCTGTACAGCATGGCATTTCTGAGCTAATTCAAGATTTTAAAGCCTTAGATTGCATCTATAAATAAAATCATTTTCATATGGAGAATCTGGCTGTTGTATCAGGGCTTCAGGGTGACTGTTTCCAAGGTATTTTCTTGTTTAATTTCTTATTTAATTCAGATCTGTTGGCTTTCAAGATTTGAAAGTACATATGCCTGAGTTTTCAGATTTTCTCATTCAACATTTGCTTGGCAAGGCTGCTGCTTTATTTACACGTGTAAGCCAAACTTTTCAGTTTAACAGTAACAATGACAAGCTTTTTTTCTTGAAGTTGGTGGTGTGGGGATGGCAGCTGTTCATTGTGGGCTCTCTTTAGTAGAAGTTATCCATCTGTTTGAGCTTTGGAAGTGGGTGGATATTGGCTGTGCACTAGGCTGACCTAATGGGGGGACAGGTCAACACATTTAGCAGCCCAAAATTGTATAACTGCTTGAGGGAAAAGAAGTTTTTATAAATGTGGTTATTACTTCATGCACTCTGCAACTTCTTATCTTCTACTTGTCCCTCTGGACAAGTAGAGGAAAGAGCAACTGGTACTTCTGGGTGAATTCTGTGCCACTGTGCAAGTGCAAAATTAAAGTCCCTCACAGATTTTTTTTCCTGCTGCAAAATAATTGATTCTTATGGAGATGGTGAAGGGAAACTGCAGTTACACCTTACATCTACTAGGGGCTGATTTGGCAACTGTCATTGTCATGCGCAGAGCCTTGTGGCTCCAAGCATTGGGAATCCTGAGAGAGCTGCAGCAGAAAGTAGAAGATCTTCCATTTGACAAAACTAACCTGTTCACGGCTAAAACAGATGAAGTTCTACACTCCATGAAAGATTTCCGAACAATGCTAAGAACCTTGGGCATGTACATACCACCTAATAAGAGACTCAAATACAATAAATATTCGAGACTCAGAGAGCCATACAGACAACCACCCCATTATGACTTTAGGCAGAAGCATAGGCAGCAGAGATGCAGAACTCAGCATCAACAGCAGCCCACAATGATCCAACCTTCATCCTACAAACAACAAATGTAAAGGTTTGGTCGAGGACCAGAGAGAAATCCCCACTGCTACTGCACCATCCTCTTACCATCTACAGTTTACCCACCGGCTTCAGTCCTTTCAACACCAATGGACACAGATAACGTCAGGCGTAACCTGCATGGCTGTGTATCTAGAGAAAACCACAGAGCTTTTGTAGGCTGGCAGCAATGGTAGCTGTCTGAGCCCATAAAGAGGATAGTTACCATACATACCCCTATCAAAACCTCTGCCCGTTAGCACATTTTTCCCTCCCGTCCTAAATCAATAGGATTCTTCTTTCTCATTGCTTATCTTGGAAGGAAACTGGTCTGAAAATAGATTCTATTTTTGAATCAGAAAATATTTTCATAAATCCACTGCTCCACCTCACTCTTGACTTTCACTTCACAAACTCTTGGTTGCTTTTTCTGTAACAACCTCACATTTCTGACCTCTCCACTTGTCAGGTACATCAGCTACAACTGATGTATAACTTAGACAAGCATTTATATTTTGTCTCAAGTAGCCTAATGTATTGGTCAGGCATAGGCCAGTTGAATCTACAGAGTGAGTTTTGGTGCAGGTAGATTAGCAAATTGCACCAGCACTTGTTTTCTTTGAGGAAGCAGTACTACTTGTAAATTCAACATAAGAAATACATGTATGCAGTGTCGTTGTCTTATATTTAATAGCCACCTGTATTCTGGGCATATTATGCAGAAACATTCAAAGTATTGGGAACACACTAAGCCACTGGTTTGAGTTATTATTTAAAAGGGTTTAGTGTTACCCCTGCATGTTAATTTTTTCTGATTCTGCATTATTGGAAACATAGCCTTTTTTTTCTTCTGCACTTCCAGCAAAATATAATAAAATTTCAAGTAGCTATGAAAGTCCTCGGAATTGGATGGCTTGTCGTTTAAAAAAAAAACATTTTATATGCTTCCCTCCTTGAGCAGTTGGGTGAAATACCGTAATTCTTTGCAATTTTATTTTTGTCTGCAGTTAACGAGACATTTGAGGAAAGCAGAAAAGCACTCCAAGATTTGAGTTATTGTGCTACTCTTGCCAAGGTGCTGTGATTGCACTCTGCGTAGGCTTTAAAGAGCCACTGATGCTTGGCAAACTTTAAAAACTACTACATAATATATTTAGAAATTGTATTTTACTGAAGTGTTGTTGAATGCCAGCAATTTTATTATGTCCCTTTACTTCACTGTGGATTACCATGATATTTCTACATAATTTGCATCTGCGATTCAATTGTAGATTAAAAAATATGAGTACATTATTCTACCTTCCTGAGAAGCGGTAGTTCTGTGCCAATGAGAGAAGCTCTTCTGTCAGCACTTTTGTAGTTGTCATCCTAACCAGAAAGACGCAGGCGGCGGACCGAGACGCACCGCGGTCCCGCCGCCTGGGTCCTCCGCGGCTTTGCTCTCCATCTCCCTGGTCTGCAGGGAGACGGGGAGCAAAGCCTTAGAGCACGCCTGCAGCGCGACAGCCCAGGCGCGCTTGGGCTGTCCCGCTGCGGGCGTGCTCCGCGGCTTTGCTTCTGTCCCCCTGGTCTGCCTGGGGGGGGGGGGGTGCAGCTGGGGCCCCCCCCCCCTCCAGCAGACCAGGCTTTTCTTGCCTACCCCTGAGGTAGAGCAGCTGGGGGCTGCCGGGTTGGTCCCGCAGCGCCGCTCCGGACCAACCCGGCAGCACCCCAGCTGCTCTGCCCCAGGCGTCCTGATTCAGCCGCTGCTGGTCAGTTTGTTTTGGTAGGGTCTGGTGCCATTTTTAACTGGTGAGTCTGGGTCTATAGGGAGCTTGCTTCTAATGATGAGCTTGGCCCAAAGAAGGGCTTATTCTTGTTTGATCATTTGTGCTATGTGTTTTAATTGTAACCTCTTTGTTTTTCTGATAGGAAACTGTCCTTGTAAAATGCAGTCGTCCTGGTCATACTTTGGTCAGCAAGACTTTTCAGTTTGACAGGTGGGTGATCTTGAAAAGCTTTCTGGATTCTTTTGAGATTCTATAAATAAGATTTCACAGCAGGAGTTGATATCATAACATGCTCTTTTTTCTTCTTTTTGGAGGGGCGGGGGGGTTAAGGTGCTTCTGCTGATACAAGACACTGCAGAAATTAGATAGTGTTTTCATCCTATAGTTCCAAATGAAGAAGAGAGTTAGTATTCTAAATTGAATATCTATCTCAGATACTTAAATGTAGTGTTATTAGAGAGCATGGCAATTGTTAATCCTCACAAGACCACCCTGAAATAGGAGAGAACTGTTATCCCCTTTTTACAGATGAGAAACTGAGCCACAGGATAAATTAAGTAGCTTGCTAAAGTCACAGACCCTTGTTACTAGCAAAGGCACACTAGTAAACCAAATTTAGTGTGGGGCCGATCTGAATAGATGGAAAATGCCTTTGTCCCAGAAGGTGGTCCCACCTGGAAACCACTGTATCTATCACCAATGGATTTCTCCGGTCCGAAATAAACACAGACACGAATGTCAAATTTAAAAGATATATTGAATACAACAGGTAACAACACAAAGAATAACCCCAGAATACAACACTGCATAAACCAACTCCTCACCCCAGAAGTAATAGAAGATAGCACAGTATAACAAGAAAAGCACTATACTCAGACTGTTCTAGAGTCAGATAACAGCCGTGGCTCAGGACCTTCAACCTGTTGGCATAGGCAGCCTCAGGGGAGGAACACTGAGGAGTCCAATTGATGATTTGTCGCTGGTATGATGTTACACAAGCACCCGATGATAAACAGTTCTCAGCTCCAAAATAGGGCCTTCGCCACAATGATTGGAGTGGAACAGGGTGATAGCTGCTCTCGGTCCGGAGCTATAGGTAGCTATAATCCACAACTCACTGGGCAGTTGCCACAATAGTGAGCTAATGCATCCGTATAGGTAGCGGTGGAATGGAATCTGGTATGGTCTGTTGGGAAGCAGGTCCCAGCCTTCGCCACGGCTCTTCTTCAACAGGAGCAGGAATCAGGAACAGGGCGGAGCAGCAGATCAGAACAGCAGAACCTGATCCCTTCAGGGGAGCAGCTTATAAAGGTCCCAAGGCGGGAAAAACAGCAGGAGCGTCTCTAGTGCACAAGGTGTAGTGTTGGGTGCAGACTTTAGTGCCGTGTGCAAAGCAACAGTGCTGTGTGCATAACCATGTGCTGTATGTAGACGATGGTTTTTGGCGGCAAAAAGTCTTTCAGTCCTTTGGGTTCCATTTTGATTTCTGTGTAAAACTCAGGACTCCATTTTGATTTTAGTGTCCTTTTGATTGTAATGTCCTTGATCTTAATATTCTAACTTACTGTCAACACCCTGAATGTTTTGAATCCTAATCCAGTGGCTGTCCATTTGTCTGTCCTTGCTACCAACAATGTATAATGCCAGAGCAGCCTCCCCTGTCCCTCTCTTGCTGCCTCTAATAGAGGCAGTGAGGAGTCCAGGAGGGCACCATGGAGACGATGCTAGGGGGAACCGGCTCCTGCCCCCCCCTTGCTGCGTCTTGGGGGGGCAGGAAGTGAGTAGTTGATTCTTTACTCAACTACCCAATAAGCCTATGCTTATTGGATAGTCGACTAGTTGACTACTTGCTAACATCCCTGCACAGTAATTACTCATTTAACATGTGCCTGCTTAACACATTTTCGCAATAGCACGATTTTTTTAAGGAATTTTTTCAAATAACACGAACATCCCCGAAATAACACAAAAATAATCAAGTGGCGGACTACTTTGTGCGGCGGTATAAGTTGGTGAAAACAGTGGTAATACACATGAGCAGATGAATACACATGATCACAGCGCTCCTCCGCTCATTCACGTGTTTATCTTTGTGTTTTAACAAACGGCAGCAACTTGTGTTGCTAGATATCTAATGTTGACGTTGATGACGGAGCACCAACAAAAAATTGACTTTGCCACCACCAGCTGAAACGCAACCCCCACCTTTTCCATTATTTTAAATGGGAAAATTGACCCCGCATAGCACGTTTTCACTTAGCACGAACATTTTCAGAAACGCACCTATAGTGTTAAATGAGGAATTACTGTAGTCACTGTCCCTTTTGGGAAGCAATAGTGAAAAAGCGCCAAACTGATGTGCCTAAAATAGTGAAATGTACATGTGTTACAAAACTAGGGCTGTTTTGAAGGAAGAGTATTTCCAGGCAGTATGAGTCTCAGCAATTGCTTAGCAGATGGTGACATGCATTGAAGTTGCACAGTGGTGCCTCATGCCACTCCTGAATGTAAAAAATGGTTAAACTTAAATCTCTGGAAACCAGGAAATGAAGAGGTAAGGTAACAAAACTTAAATCAGTGAAACCCAGGAAACACAAAGTTAAGGTATTCGTCATACCCACAATACAACCTTATCTCTGCCCTTTTGAACACACCAATAATACACAAATTAGTGCTCTGCCCTAGGGATGTTACATTTTGATTAATCAGCTAATCCCTTTTGCTTGACAACTTTGCACCGGCTCTTCTCGCTGGATCCACTGATATCTAGGCTCTTTGCCCAGAATGGGTTGGCTACTTCTGCCCTACAGAAAGGACCCATACCTATCACCAGTCTAGCCGATGTGGTCCTTGCTTCTTCCCATAAATGACTCCAATACTCACTACCGTATAGCAGATACTACTACTTAGTCACCTGAATGGAGCACTATTCAAACGAGAAGAAGAAGTTACTCACTCTGTGCAGGGGCACACATCTCGAAGAACCATCATTACTGCACAGGGTAAGTAACTTCTTTTTCTGGCTTTCAGAGGTTGAATTAGCCACTATCCATGTTGGGTTAAAGTTCTTGTGCATTTAATATAGGTATCAGCTTTTGGTGTTAAAGTTATGCCACAATATATTAAGGTGCGTGTAGTACATTTACAAAGTGCTCCGAAGGTGCTGTGATTCTGGACATGTGGTGACCATCCAGATAATCAAGAAAAGGATTTAAAAAAAATCCTCCAAAGAATGCTGTTCTTGGAGAATGTTTTTTCAGTGTCCCAGCACAGTTCATTTTTATAAACAGTAGAGCATATGGTTTTTATGAACTCAAAATGTTTATTTTTTTTAGCAACTTTTTATGGAACTAATAAATGTCAAAATATTTTATTTCAATTCAAGAAGAAAATTCCATCTTTCAGCATTTTATGCTTTTTATAATTTTATGAGTGAATAAGTTAACAAAATAAAAAAGAAGGTAATAATTTTAAGGATGAAATTAACATTTGTATCCATTTGGGGAAAATCTGTCATCTTTCAAGTTGAGTAAGTAATTTGTACAAATAGATTGCCTGGGTTTACTGTATCTTCCATTGTCCCAGTTAACTAATTAAAACAAGTCTGTTTCTAGTCTTGACCAGAGAGTCAGTTATTCTATCTGCTTCATATATCAACAGGCTGAAAAACTCATTAGAACCAATTGAGAGCAATTTGAATAAACAAAAGATTTATTTATCACTCACTGGAGAATAGGGTTGAGCAAGAAGGGAAGGAGAAAGTAGGGAGGCATCAGAGAATAAAGTTTGTTTAAAGGAACATCTACCTACATTTATGTGTCAGATTGTTAAGTGTGGATGATGATTTTCATATTGTGTTTTTGTATTTTGTATAAAGAAAATGCTTATTTCAAGCAGCAATCTATAGGAAGTTGCTTAGTCATGATGTTAAGAGAAGAGATGAATGAGTCAATGTCCTGTTTTATTATCAAAATTGCCTCCATTTCATGATTTGTTATTTCAGATGTGGATTCTGATCTTTTAGTACTTTGTTGTTGAAAGTGTAGGTCGTAGGGGTAGACTAAAAAGTACCCTAGAAACTAGGTGGGTTGTTTGCATTTGAAAAATGTGTACAGTTGTGTTCAAGTGCTTGCTCATATCTGTTCCATTTAGGTGGCACATGCTACCCGTTGGGTCAGTTATGGAGTCCCCCTGGAGTGGGACTGGTGTGGCCCTCTATATATGACGCTGGCAACCTGACTTCCCAACAGTTCCTTCTTACTGCTAGTGATGGTTAATATGGAGGTTCCTATTGCCTTGCAAGTGTACCACATATCCCTAACACGAACATTAGTTGTTATAGTGTTGTTAGTTATTGTCCAGTTATTCTAGTTTTAGGTGGGTGCATGGGGGTCTCCCCCTGCTCCACCTGCATTTCCTCTGGGACTTAGGGCTTGCCCAACTCCCAGAGGTTCAAACTGTGCAGTTCTTGCACCAAGCTTATGCCAAACAAGTGACCCACCACAACTCCGCGTCTCTGGTGCCTAGGGGAGCTCACCAGTCAGATAAGTGCAGGATCTGCAAGTCATTTAAACCATGGACCAGGTAGGAGTGAGATTTTCATCTCAAGCAGCTCTTCTACATTTTTTTCTGGAAAAACGGCTCTTGCACAAGAGGGTTTTTTTTCACAAAAAGGAGCCGTGTATATGGCTCCTTTTTTCGCAAAAGCCTCTTGCGCAAAAAGCGGGTGCTTATTAATTATGCAAATGAGGCAAGGTGATATTCCATGCTTAGCCTCATTTGCAAACTAGCCTTAGTGTGTGCCTCTCTTCCAGTATATACCAAAGGCAACTCAAATGTCTCTACAGTCTCTAGGGCAGGGGTCAGCCACCTACAGCATGCATGCCATAAATGGCATGTAACCCAATTTTCAGTTACAC